GACAGTGCATGCTGATAATTGGTATATCAATAGCAGGGATCTTCATCATATGTTCATTGGATGTTCTCCCATCCAAGCAGGCATTTTAGCACAAACATATCAGCTATTTCACTACTATGTCTAAGCTTAATTAACAACAAAAATAAAAGCTGTATCTTCATAGCAAAGTTACTTTAACTTTATACATATAGCATCCATTTTAATATTTGCAAAAAGCCAATATTATAATATGTAACTGTAACAAGTAGGAGGAGCTCCCTGGTGTGCAGAAGTCAGGCATCACTTGCACACCCCTCATGGCAACATCAGAAGCTAATGCATGTATCATTTGCCAGAATTTTTTCTGCAACAGGCAAAATCTCTGTGAAATAGCCATTTCACTTCCCTGAGCCAAGAGAAGCTTTTCCTAATGTGTTAATCAGTGGAAAGAGTGCTCTGAATTGTGTATTTTTTAAATGTGTCCTGCTCACACTAATTTGAGTTCCCTGCACTGCCCAGGAGTAAACACTTCTCAGGGTTAGCCAGCACCTCTCAGTGATAAAACTACTCAGTCAATGAAGATTTACTCTGCTTTATGCTCCAATGGAAACCATCAGGAACTTTCCAAAGCAGAATAACACACACAAACACAGGCATCAAACACATGAAAGAGAGTAAGAGTAGATAGAGGGGATTTTAGGGAGAAGTTAGAGGGTGGGCAGGCCCTGGCACAGGGTGCCCAGAGCCCCTGGATCCCTGGCAGTGCCCAAGGCCAGGTTGGACAGGGCTTGGAGCAGCCTGGGACAGTGGAAAGTGTCCCTGCCATGGCAGGAGGTGGGACTGGATGGTCTCTAAGACCCCTTCCAACACCAAACATTCTATGATATTATAGCTTTGTCTTTATTCTAAATATTTCTTTTTTTCTTCCTTAGCTATCTGTCTTATCTTACCTTCTTGCCTTACTTTCTATTTCATGCAACAGCTGGACTAAAACCAACCTCAAGGACTCCTCAACTCATACTTGACTATAAAAGAGGATCCTCTGTACACAACTCTGAGACAACTGGAGTTTAGACAGTTTCAGAGATGTTTTCAAAATATCCAGAGAGGAGCTATTTTCTATCCTATGACTGTTTAAGTCACAGCCACCAAAAAAACAGGAAAATTTGTTCCCTTCTTTCTGCTCTTTTCTGTATCACTTCATTAAGCTCATACTCACAACAAACCAATGTCCTTTGATTTGGTGTAATTTTTAACCCACCGGTGTCCAAGCAGTTTGCAAAGCAGACCCCAGCCCTCACCCATACTGATAAAACATAAAATGAACCAGGGAGAAGCTGAGGCAGAGCCAGGACCTTCCCTGCTGTGGCTGTGTTTGAGACCCCCCAGGTGTGCACCCACCCTGGCAGCAGGAACAGCACCTATCCAAGTTCAGCTCATGCCCCAAAATGATTTCACTTTCCCAGCAGATTTTCCCCTGGGTTGGTGGCTAATGGGATGAAATAGTGCTGCCCAAGAAAGGCACACAAATCAACTCTGCCTCAGGCACAGCATCTTGGACTGAAGATAAACCCAGCTGCAGACACTGGCAAAGAGGTGAGAGAGTTAAATTTCCTTACAAACTTCACAGGCTGCTTAAGCTGTGACCCAAATAAAACTTCAGCACTTAAAGTCACCCTGGTTGGTTTGCACTCTTCTTTCTCTCTTCTGAAATCTCCTTGCTTTTGTTTGCCAGAGGAAACACAGTGCTCTGTGGTTTAAGTTCTTCCTGGATGTATTGGTAGTCACAGAGGAAAACCTGATTAAAAACTTCTCCTGCCATGTTGTTCCTCTCACACACGATGCAATGACTTACATTAATAACAGCAGAGTGCAGAGAAGACCTGCTGGGCCTTTAATAAACTTCCTTTTTCCAATCACTTAAAACGTTCTTTAAAGTTGCAATTGAAGTAATACAAAGCCTGCATAACAGTACACTTGACATTTATGAGCTTGGCAATAAATCAGATTTTTTGTTTTTACAATGTCTGCTTATGATTAATTGTAAAAGTTTACTATAAATACTTCCAGACAAACAGTAGAATGGTTAATACACTGTATTCTGCTTGCTGATACCTTAAGTCATAATGGAGTAAATGTCTTAAACCATATACATTAAATTCAAACTACTACAAAAAGCCAAATGCTCACAAGTTTCATTACTGTGCTCATTAGAGAATAATTGTGAGGCAGCCTGAACTTCCTCTAGCCTTGGCATCTCTTAACGTAGACACAATTCAGTACAGGTTTTAAGATAAAAGCTCTAATGTTCAAACATAAACAACATGTGTAATGCATCTTAAAACACCTTATTTTTGATAATAGAACATGATTGAGTTAAAATAGCAAGAGACTGTAATCTTGATTTGAAAGTCTAGGAAGAAAACCCTCACTAGTATTATTTTTTCAGCATGACACAACTGAAATGCAAGGAATGTAATCATGCCAGAATTCTGCCACGGGAAAACCTGGCACTGGGCTGTGTGGAGTGCAATTTTATCCCTCCAGGAAAGTGTCTCACCTTCTCCTCCTGGGTCCTTCCCTGGGACGGTGCCAGAGCTGAAGGGTAATGGAAATATAATGAACAGCTGCAAATTAAATTATGCTGTTGTAATGTGGCATTATTTGGCGTAAATGATTTTGTTGCAATTAAGAAAACAGCTCCACAGCCCACAGCAGGTGGGTGGTGCTGTAGCAGCTTCAGGTAAGTTGGCCTGCTGGCAGGAGAGGCAGCGAGAGGGAAGATTCTGCATGCAGGAGCAGGTTTGCTCTCCAGCACAATAAACACGAAGCTGCATTATTAAAGGAGTAACTTGTATTGCAGACAATCAAAGTAGCCACTGTATAAACACTCCTGAAGTGTTTGTCTGACTGAGTGCAGGGGCCACATCCAGACCTGTGTACTGTTCAGATCTCATTAGCACCTCACCAAAGAGGTGTGAAATGATGGATGTGCCAGGCTTTTGTTTTCTGCCCAAGAGTTCACTCTTCTCCTAATTACTGCCTGCACCTAAAATCAGCATTTTTAGAAGCTCCTTTTGATTGCAGTTCTGCCACTTGCAGACAGTCCTGCCACACTCAGCAGTTGAAATAAATCAGATTTTATAATAGTTCAGAGAAAAGCGTTCAAAACTCATGCTCTCAACACTTTCCACTCTCTGGTGGTTTTTGGGTTGCACTGTAACTCATTTTTAGCCCAGGAAAACATTGTTTTCATTGATAAGTCTTTGCCCTAATTGCTTGTGAATTTGTTACATTTTAAAAGCAGCCACCATCCTCTATATGAGACAGATAAAGTACTGAACAAGAGAAAAATCAGATAATTGCTCATTAGGATGGAATACAAAATAAATAAAGAGGGCATCTCCCAAAAGTTCTCTTGGTCTGTTCTGTCCACGCATGAACACACAGTCCTTTAAGATGTAAATGAAATTTCAATATAAGCGAGAAACTCAAATTCTTTAAAACTCCATTAAGCCAAGGTCTGCTTGAAGCTGCCTGAGATGGTGGAAGGTGTCCCTGCCCTGAGCAGGGGAGGTGGAACCAGATGAGCCTAAAGTCCATTTCCACCCAAAACATTTGGAATCCGTGTTTATATGGAACATGTGCTCTGTCCCCTCATCCCAAGGGCAGGGCAGACACATTAACAGCACAGCAGAAAGCAGCACAGAAAAGTCATGGAGAGCAAATCCTTCAGGTGACATAAAAATCTACCCAGTCATAGGGGACAACTTTTCTCCAGGCTGAGCCCCTTCCCAGCTCCCTCAGCCGCTCCTGGGGCTCCAGCCCCTTCCCAGCTCCCTTCCCTCCCCTGGACAACAAATGCTCTATCAAATGTTGCTGTGCTCAATCTGACTCATTCCTCCTGCTGTCTCGGTCCTGCTGCTTCTCAAACCCTGTCTTTGAAACCCTCAAGAGCAAGGCTGTGATAATTTTCTCTAAAGCTCTTCACAATCTTGCACCATGAAGGGGTTTGGGGCACTGTGCATCAGAAATTCAGCTACGGACCTCACAGGGCAGGAAGCAGAAACTTCTCTAAGAAAAGCTTCTGACTGTGGGAACATAAATCTGGCCAGAATAAAAATGCCATTTTAGCCATGTCAGCTTCGGATGAGAGTGTGAAAGGTCCCTGTCAAGGACCCAGGCATATTTTAGGTTCCAATTGTTCTCCTGGGGTGCCTCCCTTTGCAAATGCTGTGCCTTGGTGTCCCGTGTCAGACAAACAAAGCCTTCAGGGCTCCTTCTTTACCTCTCACTCCCAATTTCAGCACCAAAGGTCACTCTGTTACTCTTCTTACAAGAGCACCAGCCCCTGGGAGAGCAGCTGAAATTTGTGGTGGCTTTTGAAAAAGGAAGGAGCTCTGCACCTGGAGACACAGGTGACAAGAGGATCGGAGCCAGTCCAAGCTCCTGCTCGAGGTGAGGCCACCTCTGAGGCAAGAGAAGGCTGCTCAGGGCTTCATCACTCAGCTCCTGAGAACCTTCAAGGATGCAAAACCCCTCCAGTTCAAGGATGGGGTTGAAGAATGCAACCCCTCCAGTTTGGATTGTCAAAGGACGCAAAACCCCTCCAGTTTGGATTGCCAAAGGATGGAAAACCCCTCCAGTTTGGATTGTCAAAGGATGCAAAACCCCTCCAGTTTGTTGTCACTCACAACATTCACTTCCTGGCCTCCCCCAGGTCACTAATCCAAGTGTTTCTCATGGTGAGTCACAGCACAGCCCTCCCCCAGCACTCTGCCTTTCACTGGCACCCTTTAAGGAGTTTAGAACTGCAGAGAACAGCCCAAAGAATCCACAGGTCCTGGCAGCATAATTCTGACACATCAAGCCAGCTCACCTGCAGCGTTTCTGCTTCAAGATCCAATCAAGCCCTCCCCACCCTGGCCAGTGCTCAGCACAAATCTGTAATAATGAGCTGTCAAGTTTTTCACTGCTCCTCCACAGGAGGACCACAATCCCATTCACCCACAGCAGCTCATGACAGATCATGCCTAACCCTTTATTTCCTTCGGTAAAAAGGCACTAATCTTTCCAAGTGGATGAAAAGGCAGCATGTGTACATTATATATGTACATAGATCTTGGTTCTATATGCAGGCTTCTTTAAAGCACATAACAATTTCTTCTTCTCTGCAATACAGATTGATGGAATAGGTCAGTAGCAAGACTCCCATCAATACATCTGGAGAAAATGAAAATAAATGAGAACGGTGCTCACTAAATGTCCATATTCCCCCCGGAGGAACTAGGCAGGGCTGGCATTCCCTGCCCCATGACAAAACTAACCTTACAAAAGGAGGATTATTCCTGGCTCTCCCCAGCTCCTGGGTCTGGTTCCTTGGCTCTCTGCAAATTCTCTTTTCCAGAGTGGCTCCAGGAACAGGAGCACCCAAGCAGCAGAGCTTTGCCCGTTGTCACTGGTGCCTGTGGGAACTGAAACACACATGGGATCGTGGCTTGGTTTTATGACAACACCATGCAGAAATTTTCTAACAGAAAACAAACAGCAACTTTGCATAAGCAGCAATAATTGCCATTAATAATGATGATGCAAGTATTTCTTCTATCCAGTTGAATTTCAACTCCAAGTTTTGGGCAATAACACCAAAATTACACATAAAAATAAATAAATTACTATGACTGGACCCTGATAGAGAAAGCACTGAGTGGCTGATTCTGTGTATCCTCACACAGCCTCTGTGGCTGCTGGCTGGGTAAGCAGCACAAGGAATTCCATTTTCCTCACGGAGTCAGAACCCTGCTGGGTGAGGAAATTAGGATATGGAGGAAAGAGGGAGACAAATTTTGCTGCATTTGAAAACCACCTGTTCTAGACATGGAGAAACAAAGAGCCCGCATGTGGGAGAAAAGCTTCATTAATGATGGAATTTTAAGGGCTTCTGTCATGTCCACCAGGGTATTACTGAAAAATTATGTATTTCTCAGCTCTGATTTACCTTCCTCTAATTTTTTCACATTGTCTTTTCACTGATTTGTGTTCCTAAAAAGGTGAACCAGGAGGCTGCACAGCACAGGAGACAGCCAGCCTAGTTCTCATGCATATATTAGAGAATTTCTCTGGCCATCAGCCACTGACAATCAGTCCAGTGTGGATCTCATGGATTCCCAGCTTGGTTGGGTCTCAGCACTTTCTGCTCATTGTTTCTACTACCAAACTCCAGGAATGGGGCACCTCTGTGCTTCCTTGGGATGGAGGAAGGAATGCTGCAGATCCAGTGGTCTGACCTGTCCATCTCCCTTAGTCCTGCATCTTGTCCCATTCCAGACCAGCAAGTCACCCTCAGCAGCTCCAAAAATCACCTAGGATTTGGGGTGTTGCTCTTTATGGGTCTACAGAGCAGAGTCATGTTTCATGCTCAGACATGTCTCTCCAGAGAGAATTGTCTGTAAATCCTGCATTTTTTGGGTGTTTTTGGTAAAGTAACAGCAACCTCCTCGTTCTGCTCTTTGTGACACATTCACGGTGCTTCTGATCTCACAGAGGTGACAGTCACCTTTCCAGGAAGTCAGGATGGCACTAGAGGAACACCTTAAACAGGAGTGGTTTCTGGAGACTTCTGAGGCTTTCACATGGTAATTCACCAATATCCATGTCACCCCTCAGTGCCATCCATCTGAGGCACCAGGGGTCTGTGGCTGCACCTTGACAAGCGTTGGTACAGCGAGCCCTCTGTGGTAGCCCTGAATTCACCAGCACGTGGCATTGGTATTAAAGGGGAAAAAAACACACATTTCTTGACTCTGCTGGTGCCTCTGCTTGCACATCCTCAGGTTTGTCATTCCTGATGCTTACTCAGCTCCAAACTCCACATTTCTATGATGATTATGATTTCCAAAGCAAGAGAACAAGCAAACACCCTCCTTCCCTGTGGCAGCAGCTCTCTGGGCACAGAGAGCAGGCACAGACTTTCCCAAGGAAGGCTGTGAGAAGATCAGAGAAAGGAATGAGAAACAATTCTTGTCTCCACTTTGTTGCACCTGCTGTTGTGCACATGTGGAATGTGTCATAGTGATTTGTTTACTAAAGGGTGATTTCTTAATTGGACACTGGATGGTGTTTGGATTGATTGACCAATTAGGTCAAAGCTATATCAGACCACCTGTAAGGGTTACTGAGTTTCTTAATAAGTATAGAATAATATAGTATAGGATGATATAATAAAGCAATTGATCAGCCTTCTGCAATCATGGAGTCAATGCTAATTGTTGCCCAGCTGGGGGCCTGCAGTGACACTTCCCTTCCCTGTAAGCAAGCTGACTTTTTCTGCTGCCTTTGCATCTGCTTCTCAGAGAGCCACACTCCACAGAGCAGCTTGCTGGATAGGGAGGGAGCTGGCTTGCTCCCAAAAGCACTGTCACATCCCGACTTCTTTTCCCCTGAAAGTGTTATTTATTAAGAAAGCTCACACTTGAGGACGTAGGAGCGATTTTGCAGCGCTGCTTTCTCAAGCTCCAGCAAATCTATCCATCCAAGCTTCCAGAATGTTTGCAACTCTCCATCTGCTGCAGCTCCTGCTGGCGTCACCAAACCCTGACAGCCAGGAGTTGCCAAGTGCTGTGACTTGCTATTTTTTGTTTTTGTAGAAAACAAACCATGAGAACACAACGTTTTTTAAAATGATGTCACAACATTAAAAAAAAAATTGCTTGCAGAGAGGTCTTTTCCATTTCTTTCACAAAAATATCTTGCTGCTTACAGAAAATAACAAAAAAGAATAAATCTTATGCATTTGATAGCTGCTCAAAGAGGCCAGGGTAAACCAAACCTGCACTGCATTACCTGCTTGGAAGGTGAGATTCATTCCCTCCCCTGCTCCCCTTGGGGCTGGTTCTGTAGCCTGTGCTGATGATCCTTGGAGGTGTCCGTGTGACATCCTTGGCTCAGCACAGGCAAGGGGAGCTGGGGCACTGAGCTGCTCCCCTGAACAGGAAATCCCCAAAGCCTGGCCCAGCCTCTGATCCTGCTCAACCCAAGCTCTTTGTGACTGTGGCTTCCCCTATTATCTCATTCCCCCCCCTCACTCCTATTTACTGTTTCTCCCCTCTCCTCAGTTACCAACCTTTTCCCTTCACTCTGCTCTGCCCAGATTTCACACCAATGAAAAGCATTTCCCTTTATAAGGAGGGAAACCTTTCTGCAGCAACTGTGTACTGGGTAAAATACATCACCAATTGCTTTGTTCTGTAGAACTAAATGCCCTACAGAAGTCCCCTTTTTGACTTCCTGTGGCTTAGCACAGATCCTGCTCCTTGCTGTAGTTGAAGTAGAAGAAATGACTGCCAGTGCATCATTTCAGAATGCAATTATATAATTATATACCCATTAAAAGAATATAACCCACCCTTAACCACCTACATGAGAAAAACAACATGAAATAAACTCTGAATGTGATAAAAAGTGGAAGTATTTTCAGCTATTCCCTATGCTAAAATGAAGTGGTGTTTTAAAGAAATGTGCTTTATTCTAACCAGCAAGATTGTTTTCAATGAGGACAAAACATGGAGCAATCTGAGCAGCAATTCAAACTGAAGTCAGATAGATGAGCTGTCACACACTGGAGATGCACACACAAGGCTTTCTCTCATATGATGTCAATCATACTTTTCCTCTGATGGATTAAAAAAACAGTCATGTTGGAAAAGTGAGAAGAAGTTTTCCTGGGATCCTTATGAAATAGTGAGGTGTTGAAACAGTTTTGTAAAAGCCTTCTAAGAAGGCTTGGTCCCAGGCTTGTGAGCATTATTGCCCCTGGACTCTGGCTTTGCAGGGAAGATTGAGCAGGTGTTGTGTCTTTAGCTGCTAAAAGGCAAAATCATCATACAAAAAAAAAAAAAAAAACACAAAACAATTTGGGCCATTTAGGTGATACAAAAGCTCTGGCTGTGTGGGATCTGTGGTTTTGCCACGTGCTGCAAAATGTCTCCCTGACAAAAGCCCAGCAAGAACTCGGGTTGTGACACAAAAAGCCTGAATGTATTGAACAGTGAGCTGCAGCCTGTTTTGTGTAAATAAATGGAGAAGATAAATGTTAATGCACGCATGATTTAACCAAAGCATCACAAATAAAGAGAAACATTTTTACCTTGACAAAAGGAGGAAGAGAAATACTTCCCCAGACCTTTGAATTCTGCATTACCACAGACATGCTCTGGGTAAAGCAATTTTCCTTCTCTCTCCCACTGAGCCAGATTTGTCCCTGTTGCTGCTGTACTGATACCAAGGAAGCATCATCAAGAAAGAATCTAATAACAACCAGTTTGTCATTACACTTCCCTCAGCACTAACTGGAGCATGCTGAGCTGTGAATGAGTGTGGGGAAACACTAAAAGGCAGCTATTAGGAAAATGGTAAATATCATTTACCCTTCCCATTCTAGAACTGGCACTTTTGAAATCCAGATTTTATGCTGGCTGGACAGCAAGTAACTCAGGTCCTCTCTTAATTATTTAGCCCAACACAGACCCATAGAATCACAGAATTGTTTGGGTTGGGAGGTACAGTAAAAAGCAGCAAACCCCGGATTCAGGGAAGGAATTATGATGTCTGGCTCCAGATCAGAAGGCTGAAGGATAGCTTTATTTAAACTATATTATATGACATTAATATACTATTTAAAGAGATACTATACTATTCTATACACTTACTTCTTACTTACCTATCAAACCTGTGACTCTCTGCTAAGAGTCCCAGACACAGCTGGATCCCATTGGTCACTGAACCCAAACAACCTTCTCCAGAATCCAGCCCAGCAATGGCTACAGGTAAACGATCCCCACACCACATTCCACATGGGCAAAACAAAGGAGCAGAGATAAAGATTGTTTTCTCTTCTTCTCTCTGTGCTTCTCCTGAGAGACAGAATTATGTCTCTCTGTCCAGAGAATGTGAATGTCACAGGGAGGGACTTAAAATATTATCTAGTTCTAAACCTCAAAAGGATCCAAAGAAGCAAATTTTAAGTGCTGGCTCCTCTAATTTGAATGTGGAAGTCAGTGTCTCCAGTGCCACCCTGAATGTAGAGGGCAGATAAATCTGACAGCTGAAAGCTGTGGTTGTTCTTCAATATTTAAGTCATGTTAAGGATGAAAAATTATAATTGATTTTTTGACACTGTTCCTAAGTTCATAACCTCCTCAGGAGAACAAATATTTAATTTCTAAACAATCAAGGGTTTAGAAAGTGCCAGGAAAAGAAACACAAGAGAGGAGCTACCTAATTGGTTGCAATTAAACATTAATACTGACAAAAGCTAAAAAGAAGAATGAGTGGAATGCAAAAAGTGGTTTGAAAATATTGTAATATTACAGCTGTCTCCTTTGTCACTCCTGGTGAAATGAGTGCCATCTGTTTACTCTGATATTTAATGAGCAGGGTAGAGCTGGGGGAGCCCAGCTCGGGCATTTGCACAACA